GACGAAATCTGAATACTTAATAGGAAGAGAGAATGGAACAATCATCTAAGGAGAATGACAAAGGGTGGTCAAAATAGCAAGAGAGAAATCGCCGGATAAAAACGTGAGCCGACCACGGAAAATACGAAGAGACAATATAACATGAAGGCACCATTCAAGGCAACAGAAACAGGTAGAATTGCCTGATAAAAAGGTAGAAGAAGATCTCAATTCAGAAAAGCAAAACAATAGTAATCAATCAGCCAACCTGATGGCGTCAGCATTGAATAAATAACTGAAATAGAATACAGTGGGACTACACTCTCCAGTTATGGGGGCCTGGAAGATAAGTGAAATATCAAATAAAAAAGCAAAGGCTATTGGAAAGAATAGAGATGAGCAGAGATGAGAGATCAAAAGAAAATGTAACGTACATGTTATAAACGAGTCAATACTAAACAGAAAAAAGAATGGAATGATCGTATAGACCAAAATGGTAAAATTAGCAAGAAGTAAACCATCAAAGGGTATAAGAATCGGTCGCGCTCGCTAAAAATGGAGTGAAAACCTTCCATAGAGGTATCAGTCCGCCAATGAACAAGCAAAATTGTTTATAGATAAGAAAAAGTTTCCAGCACAAAACTCGTCGACATAGTTGTCCGTATGCCTTCCCAAGATCAACGAATAGCGTATGAACGTTTATTTCTCAGTTCTATATTTTGTCGAAGTAAAATTGAATCTGTTGTTGATTGCAGAAATAATTGTAACAGTTGACTGATGTATTTATTTTTAGCATTTAAATGTTTCTTAAAGGAAATGGAAGGATTTAATTTTATGCGTTCTATTTTACTATTTTACTGGAACCATAACATTATTACAACTGCCCACACACATACGACATTAACGGCTGGAATTCAGTTACGAAAAAAAATTAGTCACTCGAACTCTGCAGCATTTCGGCTAGTTGTCCAAATGAGTCATTGTTGTCTACATGAGGTTTCGAATAAGCTAAAATTTATATCCGGTCGAAATTAACATTATTATTGATATATATGCAGTTAAATATATTAAAGTATAAATAGTATTTATTTATTTATTAAAGATTTCCTTTGAAGTTTTCTATGGAATACGTAAATAGGAAAAAGTTTACTCTGAAATTTTTATTTGACTTTTATTTATAAATAATGGATGGTTATTATTAAAAAACAATAAATGTTTGATTAGTTAAGTACCAAATACCGTAAATGCTTGAGATAGTTAAAAAAAACCTACATAGTCAATGGATATAATAAAAAAAAGATCCTGTTCAGGACCAACAAATCCAGATATATGTATGACATTTTTTTTAGTTATTATAGGCCTATATAAAGAAAACCTACATGCCTTCTGAAAAGATTTCGGCAGCTTTTTTTAATTGTTAACAATTTAGTGGAAAAAAATGTCATTTTTTCGATTTTTTGCTTACCACTGAAAAGCTTAGTATTTGAGGTAAAATTACAAAACTTTATCTTTTAAAACATAAAAAGCTGTAAAATGGCGTTTGCTAAAAGTTGTAAACTATTACCTCAAATTATGGTATCAATTAAATTTTTTCTTCAAGCGAGCAAAAGGAACTGAGTAATTATTTACAAACGGTGATCAAGTTTCATCATGGTCTCAATCCAAAAGGTGCCAGACAATTAGCATTTGCCAATTGCTAAGGAAAAAAATACCCACTTCATGGGAAGAAAACAAGATGGCAGGCAAGCTTTGGTTTACAAGTTTTATGAAACGAAATTCAGAATTAACATTACGATCAGCAGAAGCAACTTCACTAGGTAGAGCAATGAGGTTTAATCCACCAGTCGTTGCAAATTTTTTTAGAAATCTTAAGAAGATTTATGAAAAGTATGCATTAACACCTAGTCAGATATACAATGTTGACGAAACAGCACTAACAAATGTGCAAGATACAGAAACAGTAATAGCCAAAAAGGGACAGAAACAAGTAGGCCATATAGTTTCAAATGAAAGAGGCACTTTGCTAACGCTATAGGTAATTCGATTACACCGTTCCACCTCGCACAAAAAACGCACCTCCAGGCTCATAAGGGTGTGATGCACCATCTGGATGGATGACACAGCAGAATTATTTGAACAGTAGATGATACATTTTGTCAAGCATAGTATTCCTGCAAAGGAATCTCCCATTTTACTAATCATGGACAACTATGGAAGCCATGTTTCTTTAGTATTTATTAAATTTGCAAAAGAAAATAATATATTCTTGTTGACTTTGCCACCACATACTAGTCATCGCCTTCAGCCACTACATAAAGCTGTATTTGGTCCTCTGAAGAAATATTACTCAAATGGTTATCAAAATTGGTTATTGAAAAATCCTGGAAAGAGGATAACAATTTACGACATAGCAGAGATTTTGAGCGACGCTTATCCACTTGCTTTCTGTTCCAAAAATGTGGTATCAGCTTTTAGAGCTACTGGGGTATTTCCATTCAATGATAACATTTTTAATGACAATGATTTTATGGTTCCAACCGTAACAGATATGCCAAACATACATCAAGAAGAATAACAACCAAATAATTCAAATGTTAGCGATATACCACAAATGGACATTCAGTTCCCTTAAACATCAACTTGTCTAGATAAAATACCAGAAACAAATTAGAAACATTCATCGGAAATAACACCTGAAAAGAAAACTGTTTCTTATAAAGCGATGGCAACTTCCAAGGACACACCTGAAAATCGATTTATTTCCCTTGTATTACTGCAACCATACCCTAAAGCTACCTTATTGCCATTAAAAAATAAAGGATAAAGAAGACTACTGAGATTTGAACTGATACACCAATTTATAAAAGAATAGAAGCGGAAACGGCAAAAAGAATATCAAGGCAAAGTAGAGTGAAGAGAGCTAAGACAACAGTAAAAGGAAAAATTGATAGTTCAAACAAGTCCAATAGAAGTAATGCAAAGAAAAATAAAAGCATACCCAGTGATGAATCGCAGAAAGAAAATCAACATTCCTCCTGGAAAAAGTGTGTGCGTTGATGAATCAATTGAGGAACCTACGACCTCCACTACAGCGAATGACGAGCAGCTGCCAGAATCTTCTACTTTTAAGGGAGAGAACACACTTAGTTTAAATGATGATTCATCGGACGATCTTAACTTCGATGAAATTGAAAAAGAGCAAGAGAAAGGAAGAGAATTCATAAATTTTGTAGAAGATAAATACTATCAAACAAATGATTTCCATTTTGATAAGGTAGTAAGAGAAGTTGGATGTTTTGTGGTCCTTTCTTTCGAAAGACAGGTCTATCCTGGACAAATTGTTTTCTTTAACACTGATGAAGTTACAATTAATGCAATGCAAAAATCGCTAAAGATGTAAAGATCCACAGATTTGGCTTCCAAAGAAAGATCAATTTACATACTCTTGGTCCGATGTTCTTGGATCTATTAAACCTCCCAAACAAGTAACAAAAAGGGGTGTCTTTTCTGTGCCTGACCTGGCTTGTTCGTATAGTGACTAAATATGCAGTTGCACATTTTAGTATAACGCTATATTCAATACACATTATCATATCATATCATATATCATATATATACCTTATCATATTTTTTTTGTAATTTATTAATATAATCCAAAACATGTTTTAGTTTTCTGCAATAAATTCTAAAAAAATATTTTTTTCCGTGTTTTTTTTTAATTTGTTTTCTGAGATGGGGAACATTAAACAAAATGCGTGCTTAACAGTGTACCAATGATGTAAAAACTAGCGATTAGACGTTATTTTATGATGTGGGGCAAAGTAACCTTTATCTATGGGAAGCTTTGCTCCATATTTCAAATGAAAAAATAACAATAATTCGTTATTTTTGAGCTTTAATTTAAACCATAATTGTTTAAAGTATTCTTTACAAGTAGGGTTCAAGTAAATAAAGATATCTCTCAGTTTTATAAACATTTTGTTGAAAATTCTTCAGAGACCTTTAGAAACGGAGCAAATAACCCCGGTTTACGGTAAGTAAAATAAAGATGTAATACCTGTTACCTGCAAAAACATTAAGATATTTTTATATATCTAAATTAGGGTGTTCAAACATAAATATCTCTATATAAAATAAACTCAATAGACCAGAGGAAAATTATCAGCAACTGAAATCAATACCATATTAAACTAAAATGAATCCCAAAAATCTTCCTGATATACCTAATTTTGTTCGAATTAACATTTTGAAACAAACTGTTGGTTATAATAACACTCACTATTTTTTGAAAGGATTTCCGGAGTGGAAATCGAAACGTCAAACAATAATTAAAAATGTAATTTTTATTACAATCAATTGAAGTATACTAATCCCATATAAATATAATATTTAGCTTGACATACCACAACAAAACAGTTTCAAAACCATTCTGAAAGAACTCTTATTATCTAACTCAGATAATGCACTGTATATAGCTAGATATCTTCGATAACTAACCAAGGTATCTATATACCAAATTGTCACATTCACTCCCAGATCTAACACAAAATAGTGTATGTGTTACAAGATTCTAAAACATACTCATTTTATCGTGCTCAAAGAAAAAATCCTTAGATGTGCTTTATGCTCAGTCCATCGAAGAATCTGAAAAGCTTGTGAAGCTCAAAGTTAACATCGAAATCAAAAATTAAGTCTAATTCAAAGTAAAAAGTCCTAGATCATGATCATTTATCATATTTGTAGATTGTTCTATCAGAAAGCGTAATATTAATCCTAAAATATTAATGCGGTTTTTTTTAAAACAAATTTATGTCATACCCTAACTTCCTTTTGCATTGATGCAAAGTTCATTCTTTGCTGGTATGCAGAAAATGTGCAGTATTGTGAACTTAATCTATTTTAAAAATATCCAAATACACGTGCTTAAGGTAGTGCATTCTAAAAATTCAAAAACAAAAAACTCCCGCTAAGCATGCAAAGAATTTCCGAGAATTGGTGAATCAAAATGAAAGAAAAGTTACCTTTTATTGCAAATACACCGAATCACAAACATTTGATGTTTATTACAAAACACGGCCAGTTGACATTACGCGTGTGTGCACAGATATCGAGAAACTCACAACACTTCTGCTAACAAACATACAATATGTGCACTTGCCAAATACAACGATTGAAGTAACAGATTAATATGTGTAAGTCACTGTGGCGTACCTAGGCGCTGCCCCGCCACTTCTAAGTTTTTCAGTGATGTTTTTGTACTATGAATAAGGAGGTCTTTTAAAAATGATTACAATCGCAAATATAAGAATATTTAGATTCGAATGTATTATATAATAAGTTTATGAAAATAGTAAATAACTTAAAAATTAATTATTAAAAATAGTGAAAATTTAATATGTTTAGATCTACACTGCCCTGCTAAGAAAAAGAACAGTATCTACAAGACATCTGTTTTAAGATAAATGGAAGTAAAGTTTCAAATTGGATTATTATACTTAAAAATGAATTATTTTCCCTATATACTTTTCTTGTATTGTCGTGTGAGGCACGAGCTTGCTTTAAAAGAATTAAATCTTCTTCTTCTTCTTCTTCTTGTATGTAGGCTTTAAAGCCTGTTTCTTCTTCGATATTAGCCTCCTAAATTTTTTAAATTGTCGCACCATCTTCTTCTTGGTCTGCCAATACTTCTTCGTCCATTTGGTGACTTATCTCGTACTATTCGTAATATTCTTTCCTCTGCCCTTCTACGTTCGTTTCCACTCCTTTGTTTTCATATTTGTCACCTAGTCCATTTATGTCTACTATATTGCATGCTCTTCTTACATTTTCGCTTCTCTCCCTATCCAACAGACTTTTCCCTGATATTCGTCGGAGTATTTTCATCTCTGTTGTTTCTAGTAGTCGTCTCGTTTTAGATGTGTCAGGTCTTGTCTCCGCCGTGTATGTTAATATAGGTCTAACTGCTGCTTTTTAGATTCTTCTTTTTGTGTCTTGTCTTAGGTGTTTGTTGTTAAAGATTGTGTCATTAAGAGATCCCGCCGCTTTACTTCCTTTTAAGCTTTGTTGTCGTACTTCTTCTTCAACATCCCCGTAACTAGTTATATTTATTCCCAGATATCTAAACCTTGCTTCCTACATTATTATTTTCCCATCAATTTCGATTTTACACCATAGTGGGTATTTAGATGTTGTCATACATTTGGTTTTTTCTGCTGATATTATCATATTGTATTTCTTAGCTGCTGTATTGAAGATATGTGTTAATCTTTGGAGCTCGTCTTCTGTCTCGGCTATTAATGCGGCGTCATCTGTATAACATAATATTTGTATTTCTTTGTTCCCCATTCTGTAGCCATGACATTTATGTACTGCTTGTATTATTTCGTCCATTATTATATTAAAGAAAAGTTGGCTTAACGAGTCACCTTGTCTGACTCCGCTTTGTATTGGTATACACCGTGCTAGTTTTCCATTTATCTTTGCCTGTATTCGATTGTGGAAGTAGATGTTTTCTATGGTTTGTATAATATTGATTGGTATGTTTCTTTTATACAGTAGGTGTAAGACGTCTTCGACTTGGATGCGATCGAGAGCCTTCGTCAGATCTATAAAACACAGATATGCTGATTTATTGTACTCGATGGTCTTTTCTGTGATTTTTCTTAGTACAAATACGGGTCTACGCAGGATCTTCCGGATCTGAATCCTTGTTGTTCATCTGATAAAGTTGTTAATTTATTGATTTTGTTGGTCAGGACTTTTGTGGTAAGCTTAAGTGCGGTGTTCAGTAGATTTATACCTCTATGATTGTTGGATACTTCTTTATCTCCTTTCTTGAACATTGGTATCATTAGGCTGTTTCTCCATGCGTCTGGTATTTTGCAGTGCAATATTAGTTTTTGTATAAGTTTTTTCATCTCTAGGGTTATACTTTCTCCTCCGTGTTTTAGAAGCTCGTTGGTTATTCCGTCTGGTTCTGGTGACTTTCTATTTTTGAGTGAATTTATGGCTATCTCTATTTCCTGAAAACTGATTTCTACTTCGTGTCCTAATTCAGATACGTTATTGTGTTGATTATTATTTTCCTTTACTTTAACCGTAGAACTCGTTTTCCATCCTTTTTCTAAACTGTTCCCGGTGTTCATTTTTTGTTCTTCGTACTAACTGCTTTGTGTAATTTCGTATTCTTCTATAGTTGTCTCGATCGGGTATTTGATGTTCTGTACTTCGTGTAGGCCTCTCGTTTCTCTTTACACTATTTTTTTATTTATTTTCTAAACTATGGTATATTGTTTCTTTTCTTAAGTATGACTTTGCTTTTTCCTAGAGCTTCTGTTGCTGGTTCTTCAATGTTGTTTCTAATTTTCTGCTAGCTCGCGTTTATATCATCGATGTCGTCTATTTGTTTCAGCTGTATCTTCTGTACTAGCCTCCTTTGGTACATTTCTCTTGTAGAGTTGTTTCACTGTGATTCTACATTGAATTTTTGCTCGGTGATTTCCTGTAGAAAAATTTGTGTTGGTGTTATTTTCATTTTTATCTTTGTTAGTACTATAAGTTTGTGTTCATTGCCTGCGTCTGCTGAGTTTAAAGTTCGGATATCTGGAATTTGCTTTGGGTGGATTTTTCTATTAGTGGCTATAAAATCAATCATAGATTTATGCCCCCTGGAGTTTTCAAATGTATATTTATACTGGAGTTTATGGTCGAAAAATGTATTATTGATTCTCAGTTCGTTAAAAGCACAGAGATTAGCCATGAGTTCTCTATTTCCGTTGACATAGTTTTTATTAAATCTTTGTTTTAGTCCTGGAACTATTTCATTTAATATAATATATTAGTTTAGTAGTATAATTTAATATAATAGTGGTTAATATAACAAGTATTGTTCTTGTACTATATTCATTTGTGGTTCTGTTCTCTCGTCATCAAACAGATCTTTAATGTATTTTTCCATCATATCTCCTACATTTGCTGGCATAGATACTATTTGGTTGTTATCATCTACTAAAGTTATAGTGATTTTTTTCTTCATATTTGTGACTTCCTTAATCTTTTTGTATTCATTAAAGTAGTCATGGTTTTTTAGTAAATCTCCCAGTTCCTCACAGTTGCTGCTCATCGATTCTTCTTTGGCTTTCCTGATTTTGTTTCGGAATATTCTTTGGGTTTCTTTATATTTTTCTTCATTGCGATTTTTGTAAGATCTCCTTATGTCCATCAGTTCTAGGACTTCTTCTGTCATCCAAGTAATCTTTGTTTTTCTGCTGTTGTCTTGTAGTTGTTCTCTTTGTATAGTTGTGATTGTTGTTTTGAAGGTGTGCCAAATACTTTCTATTGTTTCTTCTGCTTCCGCGGGTGCTTCACTGAACTTTTCTTTGAGTGTATCATTGAGTGTTTTCTCTATTTCTGCCTGTACTATTGGATCTTTAAGTTTTTCGAGGCTAGGTTTTATCTTCTCTCTGTATTTGATTTTCTTTAGTTTAGTTCTAAACTATTTTAATAAACAATGTTAATAAGCACCAATTTTTATTCTGTGCGCTACAATTGTCTAACAGCAACGCAAACTTTTTAGTATCACGGTAATGGTTTGAAAATACATTAAAAGTACTTGCAATATCTTCTTGATTTCTGCCAGATGTAGAAAAGATGATTTGCTTGAACATTTCAAGTCGAGGTAGCATAATTATTATCTTTTCTAAATCTGCACTAAATATAACTTACATTATTTTTGTAGTTTCGTTAATTTTTTTGCAAATTCTTTGTATAATGCCCTGCTCTCTTTGACTAGTTTGTCATGGATTTTTCAAGTATTACAAATATCACAGTCTTAAAACAAATTATCATTATTATGGTTGTGTAAATTAAAGTTTTAACACTCCTAATTGCCTAGTCTTGCAAATTGAATTCTCTGTTCTTCCAAGATACGTCTGTACAGTTCATATGAAACACCTGATTTAAATTGTGAGTGTTTGATAATGAAGTCTCTGTGCATAAGTTTAATATTCAAATCATTCGGTAAATATCTAGTTTTGGAGGCAGGTTCTCTTCTGTAGCCTGATACTTCAGGATGGAAGGTCTCAACCTTATATTTTCTGCGTCAGTTGAGGAGGCTAGTATAAGGGTAGCCGCACACAGAAAAAGCAAAACTGTTTTAGTCAAAAACGTTTTTGTTTGAATTTATTATTTGTTCCATAAAATAAACAGATTTGACTCTATTTTAGTGACCTTTCCTATAAGAGGTCACTCCTACATGGAGACGGATAAAGATTTTAGTATCGTTAACCAAAAAAGTGCAGCAGAAACCCCAGAAGATTGGGAAGTAGTGTTACGATTGGCTCGTCAAAAACCTGCGCCTTATAAAGTAGAAGTGGTTGACAACTACTTGGTGCGTAGCTGGGACACTTTTCTTGCATCTATGTAGGCTATAAAAGCACCTTTTAAAACTAAACCAATAAGAGAATTAAGCATTTCAAAGCAACATCCCAGACTAATTTATTTCAGAGACACCTACAATGGAAAAATGGTTTCTGCTGTCATTAACAAAAAAGTGACTGGTAGGGAACCACCGTATACTGGAAAAGAATTCGTTTTCCTTCTCGATCCTATACTAAGTCACTGCCCATTCAAATGGCAAAATACAAAGATCTTCAAGTTTAAAAAAAAATTGTTCAGAAAAAGGACGAATGTATTTTGATCAGATAAAAACATTTGACTTATATTTTATCTTATAAATTTTACAATGTTATTGATTTATTTAACAGATAATATTAATGTTTTTAGCTTTAGTTAAGTTAAACAAATCATAATTTATATAATAAAAGATTAATTTAATCGTTGATGGAAATATTTTATATATAATCTCCACTGTAATATTTTAATCAACGATTTATTACAACTATCATGGTAAAAAATGTATTTGCCTCTCCCCTGTTATTCGTGTTGCCGCGCTCATGGCGCTTTGGCGAATGTATTTGAGAAATTATAATATATATATCCACTGTCTGTAGACTGTCTAGTGAATTTAGTAATTATTTTTTTGCGAAGTTAGTTACTTTTTGACAGAATATAAGTGGCTCGAAATTACTATAGAACCAAGCACACGTACTCATAGCTAATATTAATAGTAAACAAACTAAATAATAAATAAAATAGAACTTTACGAATTACCGACAATCAATATTTATTGATTTGCACCATATAATAAGTAGTTATGTTAAATTATAACAAATAAAATATATTTTTTAAATATATACTACCTAAAATTTTATGGGTTTAGTATATACTTCCACTATTTATAATAATTCTTCTTTTTTCAATGAAAGAAGTCTATAATAAAAGTTTATTTAAGCTGTTAATACTGTGAGCTAGGAACTTTTGTGTGGTATGTTTCTAGGTATGAATATGTCAAAATATGCCAGAGTTGAGCGAATGGCCCTTAAAAGAATAGATCATATGGAAAATATGGTAATTGCACCCCCTTTCGCCCCGCTGACGACGCCCATGTCTAAAAACTAATATATTTTTACTACTTTTATACTGTTTAAGTATAAAAATCTCAAAACTTTTTCTTTTAAAATAGTCTCTTGATTTTCATTTCTAAACCGTTATTAAAAAAATTGATATCTTTAAAAATCAACGATAAATATTTAACTAAAAAATCCTATTGGATATTCTAAATATTACCCAAAATGTTTATACGGTAAATTAATTAAAGCAAGTTTATCTGGACACTATTTTTTAAAATTATAATCAAATTCTGGCCTAATAAAAAAAAATTAATTAGTGTAAAGGGTAATGAGCTAGATTCGTGAGTAAATTAGAGTTGTATAGATGGCGTTTTAATAAGTTCCAAGTACATTACCAATCATTTACATTAAGTCTTATAGAGAATGATGTTTGGTTGTCCATTAGTGATCGGACCCATTGGTCACATTGCCTGTAGCTTCCATAGTAGCCATACCCAACCCGTCATTCTGAACCGGACATCAATACAGACGTACATATTGTATTGACGTACTGTCTGAAACTGCAAATACAGCTTTAATATTCGTACTAGTCTTGGCTAAAAGTTATAAGACACTGTACTAGGACAGAGGTCCGATTCCTTGGGTAGTAAAGGAAGAGGTAATTCGAAGCTACTACCGAACCGGTGTGTCGTGTGTTCCGACAGGCATTACACGCCGAGAATCATTGGTTGGCTTTATGGCTGAAGTTACAAGTTATGTGACCAATGTTTAAAACAATATAAACATAATTACAATTTGCACTTATTACTAGAGACCACTAACAGAAAGAAACCTGTGAAGTCCTGTGATTGTGATCACGTAACAGAATTAGTGAATACGATCTAACATCACAGAATACTCCGATTCTGTGCTAACATGATGAGAAGAGTCCCTCCTCCACAACAATGTTTCGCGAAGAAGTAAAGCGCATAATAGAGAAAAAGGTAGGTACAAAAAAACGCGCAACGTTATCATTTTTAATCTAAGACAAATGTTTTAATATTAATTTCAAATTTTTAAAACTGTATCTCAGCAATTAAACGTTTTAGGCGAGCTTATTTCTACATCACAATTTTTATATTAAGTAACGCTAAATCTCTTATGTAGTTTTATTGGGCTAGTTCGACCCTTATTTTGAGTGTCGCTGTGTTTAAAATGGTAGTAATGTAATACACAACACCATCCCTTATTAGTAACTTTTATTCGGATTCATTACAATAACGAGATATTTTTGCTTTAAATATATTTTTAGTAAATGTTTCGCAATTTTTTATATATTATTGATTTTAAACGCTTTAATTATACTTAAAATGAAATCGATTTTCATTAAAATAACTGTTTTATCGCACAATTAAATTACGTATTAAAATAAAAATAAAATTATATTCAATAAATAGATTCCTAGTATAACTGCTAGTTTATCTCAAAGATGTCGCTGAAATTAAGCGCAGCATACGCGTTCGGGTAAAATTTGGAAATTTCGATCCGCATTTCGAATGCATCTATATTTTTAATGTAGAATTTTTTAAGCGTCCAAGCTTCAACCCTATACACAAGGGTAGAGAAAATATAACATCAAAGTATTCTTATCTGGAGCGATATAGTGATATCGCGATTACAAAAAAGTTTTCTCATTCTATTAAAAGTTGACCGTGCAATTTCAATGCGGCATTTTATTTCTTTTGTCTGATCAGTATCTTCTGTGATCCATGCTCCAAGGTATTTGTACGAAGATATTTGTTCAATTTCTGTATTATCTAGTACTAGCATAACTTTGATGTTTTGTGCTTTTGTAAATACCATAAACTTTGTTTTCTTCACATTTATGTTTAGTCCATAATCGTTGCAATATATATTTAGTTGTTCAGCAAGGTGTTGCAGTTCTTCTAGTGTTCCTGTCAGAAGGACGGTGTCGTCAGCTTATCTTATGTTATTAAGTGGCTCACCGTTTATTATAAGGCTCTCACTGGCCTCGGCAAGCTCTAATTCTGAGATGGCTTCACTGTATAAATTGAATAACAAGGGTGATAAAATACACCCTTGGCGGACCCCACGGCAAATCTGGATATCCTCGGTCAGTTCATTTTCAACTTTGACTTTTGCTGTTTGGTTTCAATAGAGGTTACATATGATTCTAATGTCTCTACTGTCTATGTTTTTATTTAATAAAATTTCTTTAAGCCGATCATGCTGTCAAATGCCTTCCCAAAATCAATGAAACAGGCACATACTTCCTGATTTATATCTAAGCATCTCTGCGAAAGAACACGTACTGCAAACAGTGATCTCGTGTTCCCTGTCCTTTCCTAAATTCCATTTGTGTATTACTTATGCCTTCATCTAATTTCTTATTTATTCTATTGTGAATTACTTTTAAAAACAAATTCAAGACATGACTCATTAAGGCTATGGTGCGGTGTTCATTGCACTCCTTTGCATTGGCTTTTTTGGGAAGCAGTATGAATGTTGATTGGAGCCATTCTTTAGGTATTATACCTGTTTTATATATGGTATTGAATAGGTCCAAAAAAAGATCAATAGATTCAGTATTCACAATTTTGAGTAATTCGATAGGAACTTCATCAGGCCCGGGAGATTTACCACCTCTAGCTTGTTTCATTGCATATTCAATTCAATTCAATCAGTAAATTGAAGTTGAAATCAGTAGATCTACTGAAAAATCAGTAGATCTGGTAAAGTTGCGAGAGGTAGTAATGGACAACGTACAGGCACCAAAACATAGCGGTCACATCGAAACGGGACTCACTTTCCGAAAGTTTATTGAATTGGCGTTACCTATCCGCTCTCTTTCCTTGTCTAAGATTTTGCTTATATTTATATATAAGCAAAATCTTATATATCTATTTATATAAGGCGCAGTATACTAGAAACAAATCACAACTACCGGTTCAATATATAACAAATCTGTGCAAATCCTAGCATATGCTGATGATATCAATATTGTTGGGAGAACGGAAAACGCAGCACGAGAGGCGTATGTAGCACTAAAGGAAGCGGCTACAAAAATGGGTTTAATAATAAACATTAATAAAACGAAATACATAAAAGTAGGTCCGCAACCACAAATACGACGGCCACTTGTTATAGAAAACGACGTCATCGAAGCAGTTAACGAATTTGTATACCTGGGAACGCTCGTCAATACTGAAAATGACATTACCGCAGAGATAAACCGCAGAATTTGCACAGCTAATAGATGCTATTTTGGGCTTAATCTCCTTTTTAAATCTACAGCTATATCAAGAAATACAAAAGTAAAACTCTACAAAACAATAATACGCCCAGTCCTAACATATGGTTCAGAAACCTGGACTTTAACAAAAAGCAATGAAAACATGTTAGGATGTTTCGAAAGAAAAATACTGAGGCGAATCTATGGAGCGGTAAATGAAAATGGTGTCTGGAGAAGACAATACGAACTCTATAGAATATACCAGGAACCAGATATCATAAAACACATTAAGATCAAACCGACCCAGCTAGAAAAACGCTCCTTGATAGACCTATTGGTCAAAGAAGAAGAGGAAGACCCAGAACCAGATTCCTAGATAACATAGACCAAGATATGAGAAATATGGAAATACGTGCTTGGCGGAGGAAGGCGATGGATAGGGACGACTGGAAGAGTATTCTTGGGGAGGCTAGGACCCACACAGGGTTGTAAATCCAAAATGATGATGATGATGTATACTAGAAAAGACCTAGTATTAAAAAAAAGTATTTTATCAATATTATTACACAAATAAACCAAAACAAATTTCAACACAAAAAGTCCTTGTTTGAAATAACTGCATAGAAAAGATCTAAATAGAGACTATACAAAATACAATTTCAATGAACAAAGCCAATTAACCCAACAAAAACTTTAAATTTGTCAGATGTTAAAGTATCCGACGAAAAAACCGGTACGTGTGAACTGTGCTGCATATAGCAGATAAACTTTTTATTCAAAATTCAAACACTTGTGTGACGTTGGTGGTTGATGTTGCAGTGACAATCTGACAAGTGACAATATATTAACAGTCGCCATATTCGTGATTAAGGAAGGTTTATCCAATAAGTTTAATATTTTTATTCGAATTAACTACATAAGGAAATTTTCAATAACAATATTGAACTGACAGTCGATTGTCTTGTTATCAAGGTCTTAAATAGTGTTAACTAAAACACAATGAAAAAATACTCGGCGCACTTAACCAAAAATATTAATTAAAAACAATTACTTTTAATAAGAATAGTTAGATGTGTACTTTAATTAGTGAGTATTTTCGAATGGGCTTTGTAGTATAATGTTTTCCATAACTTAATTTACAAAGTGGGGTCCAAATTTCAACATGCAAAACTTGTTATAAATTAAATTAATTAAATTATATTTATATAGTATGGCAAGTTCATTTGATCACGAGGATAAAGATTCGTAAGTATAAATCAACAATTTATGGTAATTACATTACAATTTTTTAGTTACAATTTTGTTCATTTGTAGTTCAAATGATTTTCCAATAACCTTCATTCTAGTCTAAGAATACTAACCATATCCTATTTTGTCTTAAAAGTTATTCAAATACTATCATTGAAAATGTAAATTTTGTTACACTTCGCTAAAAAACTGTAATAAGTTTACTTTAAATATCAGAAATTTTAATTATCCATTTAAATTCATTATAAAATACTTAAAACTTTAAAACACATTCATGTAAAGGTAATATTTACTGTATTGATGATAGTAACATTAAAAAATGAAACTGTTTTACTATATTCTTTATAAAATCTATGGAAGGATAACCCTAATGCTTAATTTTATATCAGAAAAGTCTTAGCTAGACTTGATACTTTGTTCAAATATAATGCTACCAAGCAAAAAAAAATCGTACAATGATAATTTAAAATAACTTTTCAAGAAGATACTCAATTGTAGTGGGATATAGTTAAACAAAAATATAAAGTTAGCATTCAATGCTCATATTTAAATGCTTAGTTCTAGTATTTACATAAATCAATTTCAGCTGGTATTTTGGAGCCATAGGCCGACATGAAGCTACCAATTTACTTATGGATGAGCGAGAAGGGGGTGTTTTCCTTGTAAGAGACAGTGCAACTTGTGTAGGAGATTATGTTTTATGTGTTAAGTAAGTACATAGCATGTTTATCGTTTGGTATTTTCATTTAAGTACCTGAATGTAATATTTAGTTTAAATGTACCAGTCTGTGATGGAACAGTTTAATTTTTAATTAAACAGACAAAAAAAGGAATAAAATAGCTATGGGGAATATATAATGAAGCACATAAACTGAGGCTGCAAAAAAATATATAAATTAGAGGCAAAATATATAGATATAGAAAATGTGCATTAAATATGTGAAATAATAAGAAAGAATGAAAAATGATAGATGAAAAGATCAGATCATAACCATGTCATTTTAACAATTTTATCACGAATTTTGATACATGTGGTTTAAGGAATTTTTGAACCATTGGAAAATGCATTTTTACTAATTCTGTACCATTATATTCCAATTTGTAGTAAATAATCACACTCTAAGTAGAAATAGAAGCTAATTAGAATCAAATTATAAATAATAATGTACTTACTGATGACAAGAAAATCAAATGGAAATAAAAAATACCAACTGTGTTTCACTATTTTTACACAGTGGGGTATTAAGAATTGCTAATAATTTCAGATGAAAGCACCTTTTGCTTATTTTGAGTAAACTACACATCCACTTTTTAAAATATTTTGCATTTAAATTCGTAGTAAGTTTCCCAAATTATTAATATTAGCATTATATATTATTCTGAAGCTATTTTCTTGTGGTATCTTAATACAATTTACTATTTTTGTTGGTAACAAGCCACAATTTTACTTTTAAAATCAAGTTTATTTGATGTTTTGTGATTTGTATTTAAAAAGACAACCACATGCAATGATTACAGTAAAATTCTCCTGTTAGTATAATAAATAAAATGAAATGTCAAATAAACTTAATTGTAAAGTAAAATTGTGGCTTTTTTCCCAACAAAAATTGTAAATTGCATTAACATTATACCAAGCCAGATGGCCCAAGTTAAATTCCTTGCACAGACACCAGAAAACTTTTAATTTATAATAAGCTAATTGGCTGCAAAATGACCAGTTATAAGAACAAACAGCTTCTGAAAAAAAAAACACAAACTGTACTATAAAATTATTGCAAGAAATCCATCAAAGGAATTTAGTTTGAATATAATTGTAAATCTTTCTTGCACAACAATAGCTAGTCAAATTTATGTATTGATTATATGGAAAACCCCATTAATAGACTAAATCACAATAAATTCTTAGGTTTAGTACAAAAATAAATGTTTTATCCTAGTAATACTTTCATGTAAATAAAATATAATAAACTTAACTACAAATCACCATTATTTTAATACTAAATTGAAAATAAGCAGTCAATAAAAAACTAAAACAAAATACTTCTCTAAGTTTCGTTGAAATTATGTTAAAATATCAAATTATTTACCAAGACTGAATATCTATCAAAGGATTGTTAATACAATAAAAGTTTCTTCTTAAGTTACCGATAATTTGTTATAAAATTTAATTTCCCAAATCCCTGAATCAGTTTAACACCTCTTTAGCCTCCAGTAAGCTAGAACAAGATCACACCTGCATCTAGTGTTATGATGGTGATCAAAAACACCCCTGCTCCTCTTAACAAACGAGGTTCTCATATATATACAAAGAGAGCACAGTAAGAATTTCCAGACTCCCTTAGGCCAATCTGCAATGGTCCCTAAAGTTAGGCCTACAAGAACTCTTATAGCCTTATGTTGCAATGTCAAATAAGAGTGAAAACTGGCATAATTTTGTAAGACCTTGTGTGAAATGACTGTTGCTAGATTTTTGAGCACTATAAGTTCTTTTAATAGGTTTTTACTCCGATAGTCAATATGTTGACACCATTGAAGCTTGGGGTCTAGGTGTATCCCAAGGAGCATCACTCTTGTCTCATCTGTGTCTTCAGCCTCTGTGTCCCTAAGAGCAAAAACAGCCCTGTTGGTCTTTGCTCCATTAAGCAGGAGCCTATTAACACATAACCATTCTTTGATGTCCAACAGTGCAGATCTGGAACATCTAAGGAAGTCTTCAAGTGTGTCAGCTGTGAAGGAGAGTGTGGTGTCATCAGTGGAGAGTGTGTATATCTAACAATGCAAATTTTTCATGGAATATTGTACCAAGGTCCTTTAATCTTGATACATATATTAAATTCTGGTTATTTATTGTATAATTTGTATCAATTCTGTAAGCATTTCGAGTAAAGCTAATAAAGCAGCATTTATTTACATTGAAGAAAAGCTTATTTAAGAGACACCTCTAAAATAAATTATCTAGATCAGCTTGCAAGAGAATCTGGTTTGATACAAAAATTGGTCCCCAAAACTTATCACTACTCAATCAAATGCCTTCAAAAATCTGTGTAAATGGCATTTGCCATTCTCCATGTACCTGATAATATCTGACTGATAGGTAACCAGATTAAAAACTGTAGATTTATTGTTACTTAAACCATGTTGTTCCAGAAGAAGATTCTTACACGTCCATGATAATTGTTTACTTACCAAGCGGTCAAATAACTTAGGTATGTTTGATTGTATACAGGCACTTTGAAAGTCAACAGTATCTTGATTGTCAACATAAACTGTCTGGAAAAATTCCTTAAATAAATTTGCTATATCCTGATAATTAGAAGCTGAATGGTTACCATAAAATTTGTAAATTTGATCATTTATGACTAGACCATTTTATCATTTAGAAATTTCCAAAATGATGGGGTTAATTTTTTTTTATATAATTGAAAGATCTAAATATAGTTTATAAAACTTTGTATATGATTCATCTGATGGCTCCTTTTTATATAAAGAGCGGGCAGTCATTTTCTCTATTCCTCTGATGTAGCAGCTTCAGGAGTTCTCTGCTTTTAGTTTCACTAATCTTTCCTTAAAAGCTTTAATTTCTTAGTCCATGATATTAAGGTTCCTAATTTAAAAACCTCTCTACAGGTTACACAAAAGTCATTATTGAATGTTTGTGCACAATAACATGAAATCATGCCCTGTAGCTGTTGAATGCAATTATTTGTTTCTCATCAGTTCCCAACTCTCGGGAACAAGCATTGCAACTATTATGTGCCATGGCTTCGAATCTATTCTCACAATGATAATCTCACAATATTTTGGCAATCACTACAGATTTTAACAATGTCCAATTTAAATTATATAACACTATTATTAGGCTTTCTTCTTTCTTTTCCTTAGGATCTGTTCCCCCTTTGTTTTAACTTAAGCATAAAATCTTGGGTACTTTATTTCTTTCCATCTTTTACCTTGATTTTTCTTAATTATCCTAATAAACACTTTTCCAAATGTGTTTATCACTTTTATTGTTGTACTTGTATTTACTCTTTTAATATTATTTTGCTTAGTAATTAATAAAACTTTACAGGAAAATTTCAGTTGGAATTTTGTTCCGTTGAATGTAAGATGTGTCCACATATTAAACTGTATTCTCAAAGGTGTATTTTTTGTTTCAGAGAAGACAGTAAAGTTAGTCATTATATAATTAATAAAACGCAAGCGCAGGATCAGTCCAGATACAAAATTGGGGATAATTTTTTTAAAAACATACCAGAACTGCTTTCTTTCTATAAAGTACATTACTTAGATACAACACCATTAATCAGACCAGCTAGCAAGAGGGTGGAAAAAGTTATTGCTAAGTTTGACTTTGATAGTTCGGTATGTATATTGTGCATATTTTTTTTATAAAACTAACAATAATGCAATAGACCAGGACGGATCTGTTTTGAGGTGGATGTGAGCGGTGGCCTTCGGATTTTTGCAGAAGTAGATCTCAGAACACAGAGGACATATGGAAAAATATTAAAGAATCCATTTTGAATTCAGCTGAAGAGGTGCTAGAAAGAGTGGTTTGATGCAGAATGTGAAATCAAAAAATCAAACAGAAAAACCAAGCAAGAGATAAATGGATATCAACTAAAGAAGAACATCACCGAAACGAATATAAAGAAAAAAGAAAGCACCGGATAATTGGTGCAAGAACAAAAAAAACTGTGGATGGAAGAGCTGTTAAAGGAACTAGAAAAGAATAGTAAAGACAGCGCCAAACTATTTGGATACCTAAAAGCTTAACAAAGAAAAGGCAGACCAGTAGTTAAAATTGACAATAGATCATAGGAAACACACTTCACAGAACTATATAGATGCAAGGAAAGCCCGGAAGAGGAAGTAGGAACAATGGAAGACATTAGAGATAATGAAATAGGGATACCAACATATGATGAATATTTAGACATTATTCAAAAAATGAAACAGAAAAGAACACCTGGCCCAGATGAAATTCCCAATGAGCTAATTAAAAACAGAGGGGAAAAGTTATTAACAAGCATCTATAACCTAATAGTTAGAATATGGGAACTAGAAGAAATGCCCGAAAATTGGAAAGAAGGCAGAATTATACCAATATTTAAGGAAGGAGAAGTAACAAACTGTAACAACTATAGAGCAATATCTCTACTTAGCACAACACATAAAATTCTAACTGCCCTCATCAAACAAAAACTCACTCAATTCACAAAGAAAAAAATTGGGGACTACCAGCAAGGATTCAGAGAAAGCAGATGCGATCCACATAGTTACACAAACAATCGAAAAATGCCACGAACATAGCATATCAAGATATACTAGCAAAATTAATCAGATTAACAAAAATGACCATGAGCTCGAGCTAAAGTAACAACTGAAGAAGGTAGCACAAAATCAATTGCAATAGAAACAGAAATGCGACAAGGCCAGCAAAATTAAAGGAACTATAGCCTACTCGTCAACACAAATAGTTGCATATGCAGATGATTTAGTTCTTATGGGAAGAGACAAGGAAAGATTAAAAGAAGCAGTAACAATCCTGGCAAAAGAAGCAAGGAAAAGAGGTCTAGAAATTAACGAAGGAAAAACAAAATATCTACTCTGCTCTAGAAAATAAGATAACATGACGAGAGAAATCAATATAGAAAACTATACTTTTCAAAGAGTCCAACAATTGAAATATTTGGTAGTAATAGTGAATGGCCAAAATAAGAGAAGTGAAGATGTAACGGAACGAATACTAGCAGGCAACAAAACATACTGGAGATATCATAGGCTTATGAAGAACAAAAACTTATCCAGAAATACAAAACTGAAAATATACAGAGTTGCAATCAGAGCAGTAGTTACGTATGCAGCTGAGACAGGAAAAAGATGAAGAAAAATTGAAAATTTTCGAAAGGAAAATCCTCAGACGGATTTTGGGCCCAATAAGAATGGAAAACGGAGAAATGGGAAGAAGAATGAACCATGAACTAAGAGACATAATGAAGGGAGAAGATATAGTTAGATTTATTAAAGCTCAGAGGCTGAGATGGTTGGGACACATAGAGGGAAGGAAAAACGACCTACTGATTAAGAAGATCACCAGATGGAAACCAGTAACTGAAAGGCAAAGGGGGAGACCCAGAGAGAGATGGGAGGACCAGGTCATGAGAGGTATCAAAATTCTGGAAGTGAGAAACTGGAGGGAACTAGAGAAGAAAATTGTAACGAAAGCCAAGTCATACAACAAACTTTGACAACATATAAGTGGAATGCGGAGTGATTCACCGCAATAAGCGAATCAGAGAGCTCAAAGTAAGAGCGGCAAACATTCCACCTGAAATGAAAAGTCCTGATGATGATGATGAGTTCTCAGATAACTGAAGTTATTACTTAACTATATCTGTAAAACTCCGAATTCCACCTCTCACATCCAAATTTAGTCGATTTTTTACATATCCGCCCTGTTCTAGAAATAATATAATTACATGAGAAATTTTTTGGATGTTCCTATCAAATAGTACTTTATTGTACTCTGTTGTACATTGGTAGATTATTTCTATATTTTAGGAACGAGATGATCTTAGTTTTAAAAAGGGAGATATACTAACCATAGTATTTAAAGATGAGGAACAATGGTGGACAGCGAGAGACAAAAATGGTAGAACTGGTTCAATTCCAGTACCATATGTTCAAAAAGTAAGTACATAGGTTTTGAATTAAATACAAACTTATAAAACAGATTTTATACATTGCAGAAAAATTAACTTTGAAAGAATGTTTAGAAATCAATGGGTTTACATCTCGATAAAAATATTATTTAAAATAAATTCATTTTTAAAAAATAAAATTTTTTGTGTCACCAGTATATTGGTTTTAAGTGGTAATTATTTTTGAAGTGTATTGTTTGTGATAAGTTAATTACTATTGATAACAGAATTTCAACACAGTAATGAATATATATTATATTAAAAATTATGTGTCAACAATTAAATAAAAATTCGAATTTACTCATTTTTGCTGTGATAAAATACATTGCATATATTGGAATTTTCGTGATTTAACAATGTAAATTATATAGGGCATGTTCTAGAAAGAAAAATGTTAATATATATTACGCTTTTAGTCAACTCATTTCCATTTCAACCCTGTATTTACATTTTCCTGAGTTTACAAATAAATTTCTAGACATGAGAGCTTGTGAAATTGTTTATTTATTTTGTAGATAGAGGAAAATCATTCTCCAGTAGAAATCCCTAGGCCTGGATCTGGAGGTCCAGTTAGTAATACTTCCCTACAAGCAGAAGCAGCAAAAAGAAACCAAATGCAGGTATGTTCGATTTGTTTTTATTTAAAAATATTTAAAAGAGATTTTAGAGTACCATAACATTGTATATACAAGGAAAACGAGGCATAAAGCGTTTATATACTATTATCTACTGTGTTAATTGTGTAAGCAAATATAATTTTGAGTTCCTTAGTTCTTATAAAGACTTCTTTGCTACACATGATGGCTTTATTATGCCTCTGGAATTACAAGACTTTCATATTTTGTAGTAATTTATAAATGTTAATAACTCGTTTTGTTGCTGAAACTCATTTAATAAATTATTAAAGTATCACAAATTTCTAACATATCGACCAAATAGTTTATAGGTTATTCAACTATGCTTGCATAAACAGTCACTTAGAGGTATTTTATAAATCGCAATCGATTCTTTAATCGTTTAATAAGCATTATTAAAAATACTTAAACATGTCATTGAGCCTACTTAAAACCGTGTGAAAAAAATATATCAAAGTTATTATAAATGTTTATAAGCTACAAATTGATCCCTTTTTTTTATCGTATGTCACTTGACACATTTAACATATATTTTATATAAAACAATGCATATATGTTTACAAACGAACATCTAACTTATTTACCTAGTCTATCGACTCTGAAGTCGCCATTAGGAAATCCTCTGACCTGCCTGGATAGGATCTTGTGGGACGCTGTTCTGTAATGTGACAGATGGTTTGGGGTTATCCGCAGTCACAGAGTGGGGATCGTCGTTTACCATATTTGTGCATTATGTAACCGCATCTGCCGTGTTTGGTTCCGATTCGGTTCAGCATAGTCCATGTGTTGCGTGGTAAGTCAAAACCTGGTGGTTTTTGTGTGATGCAGGGAAGCTGATATTTTGTTGTTCCATTCATTCTCAAGTCCAAGTGGTCGTTAAGTTGAACTCATTTTCCGCAGCAATCTGTGCTGTTTTTATTGGCGGTCGTCTGGAGCGTAAAAGGTTACTGTTGGCAGCATCTATATCTTGATGAATTGGCAGGATCTCGTTACTAAGTATCTTTTTGTACTCACTAGTGAGGGAGTGTATGCGCCGTAGTTTGGGTGGTGGAATGTGGCTTAGTACTGGGAGCCATTGCGTAGTGATGGATTTAAAACACCAGCAATTGTTCTCATTGTATTGTTCAATTTGGCATCTATTTTGTGTATATGTGGACTGTTAAATCAGGCTAACTATATTCAGACAACACTAGAACAAACTCTGAAAGTGAATATAAAAGTGAACTCTCCCCCAAAATATTGAAGTCAGAAGTTGTAAGGGCAATCAAACACACCATGGGGAAAAGCACCAGGTTCAGACGACATATACATAGGGGTTCTAACAATGTTGAGTGAAGACAATATAGACGCCTCGGTAGATCTTTTTAATGACATTTATGGGTCCGGTCAAAACCACAGGACTGGCTTCAATTAACCTTTATGTCAATCCCAAAAAAGCCAAACGCTAATAGTTGCCACCAATTCCGAATGATCAGCATATTGAGCAAGGTCCTAAAACTCTTCTTAAAGATAATTCACACAAGAACATACAACATATGTGAAAGAGACATTAGCCTCAAACAGTCCGGTTTCAGACAAGGATTTGGCACAAGAGAAGAACTTTATAGCTTAACTGTCCTATTTCAGAATGATGTCTTCCTATGTTTTATAGATTACAAGAAAGGTAAAATGTTAAAATCATAAAGAACCTTTATATGAATCAAGTGGCATCTATTAGAGTAGGACTCTAATCTACATCATATTTTTCTATCGAAAAAGGTGTACGACAGGGTTGTGTTCTGTCACCCCTCCATTTTAATCTTTACTCTAAAACGATTTTCGATAGAGCCATAAGTGACACTGAAGATGGAATCAAAATCAACGGACAGACTATTAGTAATCTTCGCTATGCTGAAGATACAGTCATAATAGCTGATAGCCAAGAAGCGCTACAACGACTAATAGATAGAATAAACACTGAAGGAGAACTACTGGGCTTGAAGATTAATATAGACAGGTCGAAGGTAATGGTGGTTAGTAGAACACGAAATATGCAATTAAATATAGGATTAAACAATAAGAACATCCAAAAGGTCCCCAAGTTCAGATATCTTGGTAGTTCGATAACTGAAGATCTAGATCCAGAGGAGGATTGAGCAAGCTAGAACAGCATTTACTAATATGAGACCTTGCTAAGTAACAGCAGCCTTAACTTAACGCTTCGATATCGCTTTGTAAAATGTTATATTTACTCCATACTGCTATATGTTGTAGAAACCTGAACCATAAAAGCCAACGTGATGAACTGATTGGAGGCCTTTGAAATTTGAGTATTTAGAAGACTACTTAAAATTCCCTGGACAGATCAGATCAGAACGAGAATTGCTGCCAATAATAAAAGCGAGAAAAACTTCTTATTTGGGTCATATAGTTCGAAATTTCAAGTACCAGTTCTTAAAGCTTATTATGGAAGGGAAGATAGAAGGAAAACGGGGCATCGGAAGAAATACTCATGGCTTAAAAAACTTAAGGGATTAGACAAACCTCGATGCCCATGCACTCTTTAGAGCCACACATTTCTTTACATTTTTAGTTTTTTTTTCTATACATATTTTTGACCTTCCTGTATTACATTTCATCGTATTTTCTTAACATTTGTGAATTGAAAAAGGGTTCAGTTGATCGCTTGATCGTTTTAGCCAGTGCTAATCTCTTTAAGTAGTTTTTATATTTTCTAAATTCTTTGCAACCTTATTTCTACTCCTTTGCGACAATTTATACTGTAAAACTGGAATATTTCGTTCTTGAGCATCTAACAATTAAACAAATCAAGGAAACACATAATAAAGATAACTAAAACCGCGAAATGATAACAATACTTCTATAAAAATATACAGGGTACTCTCGGCAAACGTTATCATAAGGTCGTGATCTTTTAACGAAGACGTAAATATGATAATATGTGGTTTTAAAAGAAACACCACGCTTTGAACTTTCTGCAGAAATAAATCACACATTTTAATATCGATTTAATATTTTTTTAGCGGTTTTTCGAATACACAACTATTTTTTAAAACGGATGTTTAATAATAAATAAAAAATTGTGCATGTCTAGAAAATATGTTATAATAAAAAATATATTGATATGATAACTCAATTAATTATTTGAGTGAGATTCGGAGCTTAATTATTAAAAAATGACTAGTCTTGCAACGAGGAATTTTATTTTATTTTGTGTTAATTTTAAAATTGATTTTAAAATATGTTTTGACTCATTGATTATAGAATCAGTAGTGAGTCATATAAATGTTTTAAAATTCCTCTTCGAAATAAATTCCACCTTTTTATGCAAAGATTATTTTGTGAGAACCTTTTTTTCGTATATATTCATTAAACTCTAGGACAGTGGATTGACATAAAAGGTTTTCCGGCGTTAAAATTTTTTTTATTGAAATCTTATTTCAAAATCATCATTTTTCATAATCTAAGATGAATACATAAACTTTTTTTATTTAGTTTAGCTACAAGGTTATTGACACTACATAAGTCGATTTTCTTACTGTACATTTTACATTACATTATAATTTACAATAAAGAGAACAAAAGTGGAAATAAAAAAGAGAAATCATTAAATTTTGTTATACAAATTCGTTTCTCGAAGGAAATTGTAATAATGTTTAATACGGACTGTTGTACATCTTTATTATTATTAATTTCAGTAGTACAGTGACATCATACCTTAATGTAAAGTGCTTAATCTCTATCCATGCCATGAGACCTTGTGCCACCTTGTGTGTCCCATGTCATAGTCCTATCAGGACTTCACATTCATGAGCTATTCATTCTCATGACATCTTTTCCTTCCAATAAAACATAGAAATTACAACAATGAACTAAGAATAAAAATATTCTAAAATAAAAACTAATAACAATACTGATTGCAAAACTAGTACATCAAGTCTAAAACAGAAAAAGAACATTTGTTTTTTAACTTACTGCATATATCTATAATAATAGGTATTAAACAATATTCCTTTTTAAGTGCTTTGTTTAAATCTCCAGGATCTAAACAAATTCATAACGTTTTATCAGGTCTTTCAACTATAACCAAATTGCTTAGCTACTCTGTAGGACCCTCACATTTAGATATAATGCTACGTTTTCTAAATCTAACAGTTGTTTTTTAATCTCTTTAATGGCTAAAGGGACCCTTCGCGGAGCTTAGCCATAGGAATACAATTCTCTTTGAGTTTTAGTTTACATTTTTGAGGACATTTACCTAATCTAGTGAATATATCAATATTTTGTTTAATAAAGTCATCTTGTTTTTGACGCTTATCAAACGCTGTGACATACATTTAGGTATGAGTAGGAACCAAACGTTATTGATTAATTTTTTTTTTCTTTTAGCGAAAATTACCGGCTAAAGCTCGAGTTAAGCAAGTGCGAATTCCTAACGCTTACGATGAAACCGCTTTAAAGTTAGAAATAGGCGACGTTATAACTGTTACGAAGACTAATATAAACGGACAGTGGGAAGGGGAACTCAATGGGAAATCTGGATACTTCCCATTCACGCATGTTGAATTTCTGGACGAAGAAAATGGAAGTTAGTCAGTCATACTCTGGTTGTAAAATTTTTTAAATATTTTGCTATTGTATAGAGCTCGAATTTGATTGTGTATATTTATTGATTTTAATGTAATTGGCTTTAACATTAATACTACATATATAGAAGTATATACTATATTCATTTATTTATGAACAATTATACAACTGCGCTGTTATATTCAATTTATATTTTTATTAATTACATATCAGTATTTTGGTCTTTTATTTTATTGTAGATTAAGCATTTCAGCTGTTTCACCAATAAAATATTTTACGATTCATTCGCTCGTTTTTCTTCACTACATCGTTACATGTATGGAGAAAAAAAAATCACTACACCTGGACGCTCAACTAGATGATTTTTGCAAATACTAAAAATCCAACCTAAACTCGGAGTATCTTAACGGCTCTAGGAGTCCAACTTACTCGACTCTTCCTGTCCTTAAAGATTCTGGAAGTGCGCTACTTTCGGTGTGTAAAAGCTTTTCTTTTCGTACCTTTCCTGATACAAAACTTGCCTACATATAACAGAAAACCTGAAGTCTAATATCACAAAGTGAGGCTTAATATGCTGTATGTGGGAACAGTAAAGTCCAGAATTTTATTGATTGTTTCCTTTGTGTAGAAGTATTATATAAATCCTATCGAGACCGAACGATTTATATAGCATTCATGAGATTATTGTCCATTTGATTTTATCTTGATCTGCCATTTCTTTCTCCAGGCACTAGTTTTCCCTAGAACCATAAGTTATGGTCATCAGTCTGCTGCCGTTGGTATCAGTTTTGTTTTTGACGCATATCAAACGCTTTGGAAAAATCTATATAGAGTAATCCTTCAATTCATCCAAAATTTTAGAAGGTTAAGGAATGAGATTAAATTCAGTATTTTAGCTAGCATAAAAGCCAAACTGCTTCTTAGTAATTAAAGGATCCAACATGAAAGTTGAGTATTTTGTAATTATACTAATGGGTCTATAATTTTTAAGTTCAGAATTGTTATCTGATTTATAGATCAGCGTTATAATACTAAATTTCCAATAAAAGGAAAACACTAGGTATAGGAAAACCATGCCAGAATAAATGGATCATTTAAAAAAATATAGGGTGTACATTATCTGGACCAGGACCTTTGGTAACCTTCAAACTTATATTCATTGATGGAATATCTTCTTCTTTGAGTACCATGACGATTTGCCGATATCGTTCTCATGAGTACTTCTTCCTACCAATTCCTCTTTTTTCGTCGATCTTTCCGTTGAGTATCAACTGCAATATCCTGTATCTGCTTCCTCTCATTGTATGCCCCAGATATTCGAGTTTTCTCTTTTTTATCATCTTTATTAAGTCACCTTCACCTTGACCTACTCTGTTCAAACTGTTTGGAATATGTTGAACCCATGATATTCTGAGCATTCTACGATATAACCACATCTCAAAGGCTTCTAATTTGTTCATCATGTTAACCTTCATAGTTCAGGTTTCACATCGCTACAGTAATAGAGGTTACACATAACATTTTAAGAACTTAATTCTCAGCTGTAAATCCAGCTGAGAATAGATCTAAGTTTCATAAATGCTCCTCTTGAAATTTCTATACGAGTTTTAATTTCTTCATCCGGATTTAGTGTCTCGTTTATTCAACATCCTAGATATTTAAAATGGTTAACTTTTGTTATCGGTTCATTATTGACAATTGGTTATATAGCGCCGAGTGCTTGTTTACTAACAAGAAATAACTTTGTCTTTGTTGTATTTATGCTTAGTACGTTATAAGAGCATTATCTAGTGACTCGATCTATAAGGAATTGAAGATCTTCGATACTTTCAGCCATGATCGCGGTATGATCTGCATATCTAATGTTGTTAATAGTTTCTTCTACTATTCCAGAACTCCACATTGCCCTTCCAAGGCTTCGTTAAAAATTATTTCTGAGTAAACATTAAACAAAGTTGGGGACAACACACAACCCTGTCTAACACCTGTTTTAATACAAATTTTATCAGTGTCTTTGCCGTCTACCAAAATAGAAGCTTGTTGATTCCAATATAGATGTTGTAAAAGTTACAGATCTTTATCATCTATTCGAATCATTTCTAGATATTCAAACAGCCTACCATGTTAAACAATATCAAACGCCTTCTCAAAATCTATAAAACAGACGTAAATTGGTTTCTGTACTTCCCATGATCGTTGAAGTAGTGTTAGCATTGAGAACAAAGCTTCCCTTGTTCCCAATCCTTCTCTGAAACCGAATTGTTCATTTCTGTCTGATTCTATTAAGAAGTAGCTTGAGAGTGTGACTCATGAGACTAATTAGTCTAAAGTCTTTACATGATGATGTATTAGTTTTTTTTGGAAGTGGGATAAATGTAGACTCCAACCATATTTGTGGCAGTGTTCCAGTTTCGTATATGTGGTTATAAATATTTGTTAGTTCTGAGACATTGTCGTCGTCTAGAAGTTTGAGCCAGTCTAATAGTATTTGGTCAGGTCCTGGAGATTTCCCATTTTTGCTTTGTTTGATGGCTTTCTCTACTTCTGCTTTTAAAATACTAGGACCAGTATTCGCATACTTTGTGGTGTTAAGTGGTGGCCTCGTATCCAGGAAGAGCTCTTTTATGTAGTTGGTCCATTTTTCCTTTTTTCTCGTTTAAGTCGAGAATAATTTTTCCTTAGCAGTTTTTCATAAAGCGAGGAGTTCTTTTTCTCTGAGTGTAGGTAAGTTTTTTGTGTATATTAAACTCATCATGTTTTCTTTGTAGTTTTTCCATCCTACGACATCTCTGTTCCATCCAGACTTTTTTTTTTCTCGCTTAACCTCGTATCTTATTTGTCGATATATTTCTCTATATCTAGTCTCATCTTTATTTTTAAAATCTCTTTGCTGAATAAGGTCGAGTATGTTATCGGTCATGAAATCCTTTTTCTTTACTGGCTCTTTTTCGTCTGCTATGGTAACCATGGTGGAATCCATTATATCTATATTTTGTCCGATATTTTTTTGTTCAGATCTTTCTAGCTGTTTTTTTATGAGCTGTCGGGGTTTTTATTATTTTTAATTTTAGTTTGAATCCAGCAAAGAGCAGATTACGTTTGCCATTACCTTCTTACTTATTTTTAATATGGTGGACTTACTTGCCCCAACATATGGGGCATGGAGCCATGGATATTACACATGGAACAATTTTATTATTTTTTTTTTCTTAGAAGTGTTTAAATTTATTTTCCATTTTGTAAAACACAGTGTTTTTTTCATAATTTTACCCGGTCTCCCCTACATTTACAAAACACTCTTCGCAAATGCCTACTATTTTAGTAGGCCTTTTACTATTATTCTCACATTTCTTTTTTGTTGGCCGGAAACTGGAAAATAATTAAACGCACACACGTTTTTTTAAAAAATATATTTTACTTTATAAATGTGTATAAAAAATATATTAACTATAAATATATAATTCCTCCAATGGTAGAATGGGTCGATCGATTAGCTCCAGGAGTCACTTCCAACATCATTACATGTCCTAAGCCACTATAAAGAAGAAGTGTTTTCGTAATAAGGCTAGCATCTTGGTACGAATTAAAAAATATTTGCTCACCGATTAATTACCTCCGGACATGGTGAACAATGTTGACGATACAGGCAATAAAAACAAAAAAAGAGAAGAATTAAAAGGGAACATTTTGAAGATAGTATCTACAACATTAAGGGCCAATTGTTCGAACGCTAATCAAAACTTGATTGTAATTTTTTATTCAATTTTATTATTTTGCGTTATAAATTAAAATGAACCATAATTAAACACTTTCATGTTTTTATTTACAAATCAATAATAATAAACAATTTTTAATAATTTGGACAGCTGCAAAGTATTTGATTATAATTAAATATTTGATTGCAATCCGCAATTAGCGTATAAGGCTTGTGCTGGCAAATAAAGCCTATTTCGCGATGGGTATATTCAAATCGCGAGACGTACACCGGAAAACAAAATGAGAATATAATCTCCAGAAAATTACTAAATGCAAGAATGTAGGGAAAAGACCTGGTGGAAGACCTAAAAAGAGATGGGAAGACGAAGTCGATGAGGATGCCAGAAACTGCCTGGGAACGCGTTCATGGAAAAGAACAGCGGTAAATGGAAATTATTGGAGAAGCTTGTTGAATGAGACCAAAGCCCGATTTGGGCTGTAGTGCCATCGGATGGATGGATGTAATTAATTTTAAAGAAATAAGCGATTAACTCCTGGTTTACAATGGATCGCGTGAGGACCCGAGAGGACGTAGTTTTTTTCAGTTAAAATACTGATAATACTATATATAAAATACTGAAAAATATAAGTGTGTATAACTATATAAAAATTGTATAATATATAAAAATATAAAATTTGTATTTGTTTTTTAAAAATAAAATATGTACTGATGGTCAAAAAAAATGCATCACTTTCTATACGGTCATTTATTTGGATCAAAAGTATTTCTTCAAGAAAAGTATTTGAAGATTTATATTAATGTAAAACTTGTTTACTACTAAATACACCAAACTTGTTTCATTTAAGTTATATAAGTGGATTATAAAGCGTATGAAGTAAGTATACTTGTCCGAATTACACTTTAACTGCGATCGAACGAATGTGAATTTTGGCATTAATTGGTAACACTTATTCGAAAGTTGCAGTATTGACAGTTCAAATTTGTTCTGTTTAGAACAAAATTAGTGTGATTTAATTCCAAAATATTACATAAAAAGTTAAACAGTCGTTGTAAAGAGATGGTAGCTTCTTTGATTCATTATTTTGAATGGGAACGTGATAATAACGTCCTTTGTATACCGTTGACTCTGTGAGTTCTATCTCTCAGGTCGAAAAAGGTAATACACCTCTAACATCACCACTCAAAAAACTTACTAGGTCTAAGAAAATTACCAATACTGAAATAATAAATACAACCGAAATTCGTAATACAATTTACAGTATGTATGAAAGAAGTAACTATATTTTTCGTTAGATATCATAAAATGTATTAAATCCAACAGATTTGTTTAACATGAAATCAAAATATTTTCAGAAGAACATCTGACTGACCTCTTTATGGATTCAATGGAAGGAAAAAGAACTGTTTAGTGGTTGTCGTATGTCACTCAGTATTGTACTGAAAAACATTGGTTTTAAATGGCTAAAAGGTTATCCAAGGCGACGACTCATGGAACA